AGGAGCATTAAAATATAGGCAGGCTGTTGGAGGGCTCTTGTACCTAGCAGGAGGATCAAATCCGGATTTAGCTTTTGCTACTACTTACGTGAGCCAATTCAATAATTGCCCATGCAAGGAACATTGGGCTGACATACAACATATCCTTCTTTACCTAACACAGACATTTCGAGTTAAAGCTGACTTTCCAAAAGACTGGAAAGGATTTGGAAGTTTTCTGTAATTCTGATTGGGCTAGTGATAAGATTAACAGACAATCATTTAGTGGCTATGTGGTGCTACTAGCAGGTGGAGCTGTCTCATGGAGCAGTAAGAAATAACAGATGACTGCACTGTCAACAGTTGATATTGAGTACCTCTCAATGTGCCATGCAGGGGCACATTGTGGAAGAACATTTTGTATTGTGGGAGAACATTTTTTAAACCTTCCACCAAAACTTATTTGTTGATAATCAGGGTGCCATTTCTTTAGCTAAAAACTATGTCACTTCAGAGCGTAACAAACATATTGAACTCAGGCATTTTTTCTTGAGAGAGAAGGTTGAAGAGAAGTTGTTGAACTTTACCTATGTGCCTTCTAGTTCAAATGCAGCAGACATGTTGACAAAGAGTGTGCAAAAGAAAGCCTTGTTCAATCAAAGGTTCAGTGTAGGACTGAGGGAAATTTAATCAAGGGGGAGTGTTGCAAATAACTTTTAATTTGTGATTATATTTCCCATTTGTATTTTAAATTTGCAACATGTGTGGCAACACGCTTTTTATATTTTTGTCTCTTGGCAACGTTTTTTTTTTTTTGTTGTTGTTGTCACTGTTTTACTTTACCATGTAGAATTTACTGTACTTGTGCCATTTTGTGTTTCAATATATGTTAATTTAGATGAATCTCTGCTTATTTATTTGTCTCCATTCCTAACGTTAGATTTCATCAATATGAACCGACGAATCAGGAAGTTGTACCATGAAAAAGCATAGTAAATTTTTTAATTAATGTCTTTTTACAAATTTATTATCTTTATTTATTGACTTATTTTAGAAAATTTTAAACAACATTAAAATATTCATACCTTCAAAATAAAAAAAATTCTTAGGAATAACATTTGTCAATACTTTTTATATGTATACTGTGTGTTGTCGGCAATAGAGTCTGTTCGGCGAGATTTGCGCCAGCGAAACAGAAAAGTACCGAAATCTCTTTAAGAGAAATCAGTTTAGTATTCACATCACATGTGGTAAAAACCATGGAAGCCCCAGGCAGCTAACTTGTCTGCTGGGATTTGAATTTGGATTAAACTACCAGAGTCTAGTGGTTTCACTATTTTGCAGCTGACAGAAAGGAAAATGCTCAAGTTTATGTCTAGTGTTGAAATTCTATCAAAGCCCACTGTAACATGGCTTTGGTATATTTAAGTTTTTAAGCCAAATCATAATTCCAGCTGAAGGCACAATTAAAATCAACTTCCATAATTTGTTCTGTGGCTGATTTGCAGCGTTACCAAAAATTTTATTAATACTTTCACTTACTTCTTCAGATTTAATTTCAAGTATTTGTTATTGCTTTAATAATAATTTTATTAATGCAAAGTTCTCTACTTCAGTTTCAGTTGAAACTATTCAATGAGTACTCAGATCAGCCGGATTACATAGACACACTGACTAAAGAAAATTTTTGCAAAAAAAAAAAATAAAAATATATTATATATATATATATATATATATATATAAGCTTAGGCTTTTCTCTGCAAAATGAATGGTAAATAAGCCAAAAGCATATATTGGAACCCAATCAGATACAAGCAAATTTAGCATTTTGGGTTCTGATGGGCACATAATTGTATGGTGAAGAAAAAATAAGGAACTTAATACCAAGACCTTGATTGAAGCAGTAAAGCATGGTGTTGAGGATACATGTCAGCATCAGGGTTAGGCAATTTAGTATTTATTGATGCCATAATAAACTATGCTCCTCATCTGAATATTTTAAAAGATAATTTAAAATTATCCACCCAAAGTTTAGGTATTAGAATTTTATCAGGATAACAATCCTTAGCACATGGCCCTTGACATTCACCTTCGGTGTGTCTTTAATTAACCACAAGTTCTGAAAACACCACCTCAGTCACCAGCTTTAAAATTGATTGAACATATTTGGAGAGAATTAGAATATGAAGACTCAACAAAAGTGAAAACTGAAATAAAAACGTTAATGATAGAAGAATGGAGGAATACTGATGCAAATATCACAAACACACATACAAAAAATAAAATTTAAAAATACTCTCCTCCCCTCCAAAAAAATCTGCTGAATTCTATGAACAACATTAGAAAGCTAGCATAAATGCTGCAGGATATTACATAAAATACTAACAAACAGAAATTTTGGTTAATCTTTGGATTATGATAACTTGGCGATTTTTTTGCGAAAATTTCGCAACCAACCCTGCTACAGCAACCTGCTATTTTTTTGTTTTTTGGACGCCATTTCGTTTTCACGAAGTAAAGGCATTTTTTTTTTTTTTTTTTTAACTCCACATTTTTCCCAACAATCTGCTAGCCGAATTATGCTTATGCTAGAACTTTTATGGAACAAAAGTGCTTAATCATGAAGAACATTAGGTGCGAAATTGGGAAAAAGTGCAGAATCGCCCACTGCTTGCTGCATTTTTAAGAACTGCACATACACGGTATCATCCATGTACACGTCGACCTATTTTCACTTTAAAAAACATCCCAGAATTGCACAAAAATGGCATTGCGCACACTTTTCACTTTATCCATGTAGACTGCTAAAGTCCTAGCTAGTAACCTTTATCGCCTTACCAAAATGTCGCCAAACTACCTGTTACCATATTCCAAAGATCAGCCGAAATTTTTATTAAATTTACTATTATGTGCAGATTTCTTTAAAGAATATGAAGACTTTTGTGAGGTAAATTTTCTGTTACTATTTCATTATTGATTTTTTTTAAAAAAAGGTGGTTGATCTTTACAATATGGTAACTGGTAGTTTGGCGACATTTTGGAGGCGATAAAGGTTACTACCTGGGACTTTGGTAATAATGTGAGCAGTACTCAGTTCCAATTATGCATTATTTTGCGTGAGGGAAATGAGAGATCATGGGATATGTCATGTGATATTAATGGACGAATTACGGTTCTTTAATCGGAAAAGGGGGCAAATCAGGAAAAAATCTGGAAATTTTGTATTTAGCTTTATTCTGTGTTGTGTGAAACAGTGTTGTTTAATTTTTGGATCCCATGGCCCTAACTAAAGTGAATTCGAAATGGGTATTTAGGCATTGTGATAAAGAGAAGTTTGCTTTTTATTTAGCGGAGGAAGTATGGAGGAAAAATTCGCAGAAAAAATCTTTCAATAATTTTATTGAATGAATTAGAAAAGTGTATCCGCCACGTAATCAAGATTCTGAAGATTAGGTAAGTTAGTATTTTTAATCATTTGAGGATATTATTTTTATGCATTGTTCTAAATGTAAGGTGGAAAGGAATTGGTATTATTGGGAAAATTGTTATTAGCAATGATTTATTTTAAAGTAATTAGGATTGTAAGGTAATTTTTATTAATTTAATGTATGTGCTCATTTATATTTTAAGTAGTGTTTTTGAATTTAATTATATTTTAATGAATTTTGTGATAGTTATTTTGTGAATTTTATGTTTGTAGGAATTTGGTATACGTTTAAGTTGAAATAAATGTGCATGGAAATAATTTAAATATTTGATTAAGCAGTTTTGTTTGATAAAATTTCTAGCATAAGTGTAATTCGGCTACTAGATTGTTGGAAGAAGTGTTCAGTAGATAAAAAGAAAAGAAACATGTCTTTACTTCATGAACACAAAATGGCGGAGGGGAAAAAAAAATAGAGGGTTGCTGTAGGAGAGTTGGTTGCCAAATTTTCGCCAAAAAATCGCCAAGTTACCATAATGTAAAGATCAACCAAAAAAGGTTTTACCAGGTTCATAAAATAATTAATGTAAATTTGCTAAGAGAAATTTATAGATCTAAAAAGTTCTCATTCTGGAATCACAATTAAGGAATATTTCACTGAAACTGGTAAGTGTACAAACACTTTTGGCCACTGTATCACAGTGACAGACACTTTTAGATATTCACAATAACCTTCACAAATCAACATATATAATATTTTTTACAGGGGCGTAGCTAGAGGGGGGCATCTGTCCCCGGGCGCAGAATCCAAGGGGTGCCAAACTGATGCTACGAAATTTTAGAGTTAAATGATTTCTATCCTTGGCAAGCAGTAGGGGGCGTGACATCTTCAGTTGTCCTTGGGCGCTGAAAACCCTAGTTACGACTCTGATTTTTTAAAATGCAAGAGGGTGATTTTGAATTATTACACAATACTATACATGCAACCCTAACTGATTTAATCATTTCAGCTTTACTATTTGGGTGGCTAAAATAGATAAACGTTAAACACATGGGCTATACAACAGATTCAGCAAAATTCCCATAAAATTATTTTAATCTTTAATTTATATTTACTTATATCCAATTTTTAAACTTATAGTATGATAGTAAATGCGAATTCCTATTCAACATTGAAGGTTGACATAGAATTATTTTCCTAGACATAACATAATTATAAGACAACAATGAATTATAATAAAAAACTTCGGGGAAAGTGCAAAATCGCCCACTGCTCGGCGCGTTTTTAAGAATTGTTCATACTCGGTATCCATGTGCAAGTCGACCTATTTTCACTTAAAAAAACATCTCAGAATTGCGCAAAAATGGCACTGCGCACACTCTTGACTTTATCCATGTACACATCGATCTATTTTCACTTAAAAAGCCAAAGAAATTGACAAAAATACAATTCTTCTTACTCTTATAAAAAGCGCCGAACAAATAAGTGGCCGATTCTGCACTTTAGCCAAAACCTTCTCACGTTTAAGAATTCATTATGCACAAATTTGTTTTAAAAAAGGAACAAAACATAACAAATGTCACCGACAAATCATACTTTATAAAGGGGATGGAGGCAGACGACAAACTGTATTAGAAGTGGAAGTTAAGCTATGTATCAAACACATGCTCTGTGTAAACAATAAATGAATTATAAAATTAGTATCTTAAAAAAAAAACAGAAAACTTGGAAAATAATTGAACTAAAACATAATAAACAATCTTATCTTAAACTGCCTAATTTATTTTGTCTTTTATTAAATTCATAATTACAGATGGCTTTGGATTTATTTCTAACTTTACAAGCTGTGTGATGTTTACTTTGGTTTGTTGTTTTTGTTTTGTTTTATATCAAAATACGATTGCAGTGTCAGTTGAAGCGTCAGATCTTGTTTTGAGACCATCGTGTGAAGTGGTCGAGAATGAATTTTGTTATTTACGGCTAAGAGTTCATCAGGTGTTTAAGAAACATCGTATAGTGTTACGAGGTGCGTAAAATGAAACGCTTTTCATATTTCTTCAACCAATAAGGTGAATGCTTCTTTAACTTAAGATACAGTTGTTTGTGGTAAAGAGTATTAGTAAAATAATAACAACCACTGTTAGAATAATTAATTCAAGTTTTTAATATTAATTTTTTGCTAAGTATTAAATGTATAATGTTTGACAATAAATCCAGCGGTAAAACATGTAGATTTTATATGATGTTAAGCAGCAGTAAGACAGTTCAAAATTTAATTTCTAAATTTCTAATGAAGTCCTTTATTATCTTTTTAACTGCCCCCCTCGCTGCAAAAATTCTCCGTGTATAGTTATTGTAGTTTTATGCATTTCAAAAGTTGCTCGGAATAGAAGTTCCATTAATCTTGTTAGAAAGTTTGAATATTTCATAAAGTATTATGCATTATTTTCATCGTGCTTTTTTGTATTGTAACACCCATATTTTCTGCATATAGGTGTGGGTGCCTAGTAAATATTTCATACCTAGTAAAGAACAGGGTGGTTATAATTAAAGTGACCCTATTCAGACCCTGTAGAACACCTTCTGCCAATCAGATTTTCATGAAACTTGTTATATACTGTACATGGACTATGGGGAAAAGATTTCTGCAATAAAAAATAGTTCATATTTTGACCACCAGATGGCAGTTTTCAAAAATTCCTTATGCAAATTAGTCAAGCCTATCAGGATTTCTTAAACTGTCGTGACCCCCATTTATCATTGAGATTTTTGTGACCCCCAGGACCACATAATGTTTACAAAAATTTTGTCGGACCCCATAATTATTGTGCAAATCTGACATATGCGTGAGTGAAACTGTCAATTTTTTTACTTGTATTGTCATGTACTATTGCAGTTTTAGGTCATTAACTTTTATTTCTAATTTTAAGACATAGAACAATGTGAAAATTTTAAATAAGTAACAGACGAAATGACAGCGTCACGTGCAAAGCAAGGAAAATGAACGTTTGTATTATACAGTCAAAAGTCGTTAATTTGGACACCCATAATCCGGAATGATCTATAATCCGGACCTCAAAGCTAAAAACTTTCTGTGCATGCTGCAGGTTGACACGTGCGCATAGGCGTTTATGCATGCACGTAAGACCTTTACGACTGCACATATGTGTGTGCGCAAGCAGAGAATCCATTTTCGCGTGCGCGTTTAATGTATAACGGACGGTATATCAAATTATCTAATTATCTATTTCAGTTATGTTGATGATTGCTTGTTCCTTAATCTTCGAATTGGATGCGGCTTATTATTTTTGCAGACTGTTAAGAGGTATTTTATAAAAGTAACTTCGATTATGTCAATAGAATTTCCGATGCTGCGCTCCCAAAGGATCTACAAACGAAAGTAGTTTCGATGTCCATCAAACAAAGTGGATAAAGACATGAAAAGTGACAGAGAGGTTAGTGAAAACGAAAAATTTCGATTGACAAGTTAGTCGGTATTCTCAGCACAGCAATTACGGGACTTGAACAGCTGAACTTTTTGCAACTGAACAAGAATTATGTCTTTTAATAGAATTAAAGAGAAAGTATTATCACATGAAAAAGCAACTTACATTGAAGGAAATATTTAATAAAGTAAACAATAAATATTAAGCTTTTCTTTTGTAAATTTTGATACCCTTTAGATCATAATGTCCTTTATTTCATAAATTATGGTTCATATTTTTAATTTTTAGAATTTCTGCCTGCCATCTTACGAGATTTAAAACGACGATCTATATCCGAAAAATTGATAATCCAGAATCGCCGAATTCCCGATGAGTCCGGATTAACGACTTTTGACTGTAAAAAGAATGCGTCAAAACGCTTTTTTTTCCTTTGTGTGTATTGCCTTATCCTTATCTATTTTCAGATACATTGTGTAAAAGTATTTGGTAATTATAAAATTATTATAATAAGTTAAAGAAATATCAAAACTGCTAAAATTTTTGATGACACCCTGCTGCAGGTCGTGACTCACAGTTTAAAAACCCTGAAACTTATTAAGAAACTTGCAGTCTAAGCCAGAAAATCATCGTGTGTGCCTTTGTCATCATTAATCATGCCCTTACAGAAGAAAGATCGAGCTTTATTGGTAACACTGTTGGTTGATCTTTGGATTATGGTAACTTTGCGATTTTTTGGCGAAAATTTGGCGACCAACTCTGCTGCAGCAACCTTCTATTTTTTTTTTCGCCGCCATTTTGTCTTCACGAAGTAAAGACATGTTTCTTTTCTTTTTTTACTCAACACTTTTCCAACAATCTACTAGCCGAATTACACTGATGCTAGAAATTTTATGTAACAAAACTGCTTAATCATGACAAATATTAACTGCAAAATTGGTAAAAAATGCAGAATCGCAAACTCCTTGGGCGTTTTTCAGAATAGCACGTACACATAAACCATTTACACGTCGACTTATTTTTACTTAAAAAACATCCCAGAATTGCACAAAAATGGCATTGCACACGCTCTTAACTTTATCCATCTACACTGCTATGTTCTCTTAAATTACAAAAATTTGCACGAAAATGCAGGAAAATTTTCTTAATCTTTAAACTCCGATAAAAAGCACATATATGAAATTACCTGATCGCGAAAAGTACATACCCTTTCCAAGGATGAACATTTCCACGTATAAAATAAATAAAATATCCAAAAGCTTTTACCTCAAAATTATCTATTATATTATAAACGTCACTAATGAATTTATACGCAAACATTAAAAATAGTTACAAATACTTAGTGTCAAATATTTAAATTATTTCCATACACGTTTACTTCAACTGAAACATATACCAAATTCCTACAAACATAAAATTCACAAAATAATATCATTTAATTAAAATATCACTAAACCATGTACACTCGACTTATTTTTACTTAAAAAAACATCCCAGAATTGCACAAAATGGCATTGCGCACACTCTTCACTATATCCATGTACACTGCTGCTTTTTTCTCATAAATTAGAAAATTTCACGAAAATGCATGAAAATACTCAACGTATACTACTCAATGTATTCCAAAATACTACAAATATATACTCACAAAATCACGATCATTAAATTAAATATAATTAAATTAAAAAACACTACTTAAAATATAAATAAGCACATACATTAAATTAATAAAAATTAGATTACAATCCTAATTACTTTAAACTAAATCATTGCTAATAACAATTTTCCAATAATATCACATTAATTTATTTACTCCTTACATTTAGAACAATGCATAAAAATAATATCCTCAAATGATTAAAAATACTAACTTACCTAATCTTCTTCAGAATCTTCATTACTAGGCTGCAGTACTACTGCTAATTTCTAAATCCTAAATCCAGTAGTCAACTGGAAGTCTATTCACCCAGTAATAGAAATTAATAAAATTTCACCTATACTCAACTCTTTTTTCATTCAAACCATGTACCCTTCCTTACACTCCTTTGCACAAATGTACATTTTCACATTTTCTTGCACCGCCATTTAAACTTACTGTAATATCCTTCCTTTCATACAATCTCAACTTATTATTATTATCAGATAAACGCATTAAAATTTAGAATTAACTTTACATAGCGCCATGCAATCCGAAAATTAATCACACTATTTCTCACACACACAAAGCTTATCAAAATAATTTTTCCAAATTAACCCCCTTTTCCGATTAAAGAGCTGTAATTCGCCCATTAATGTCACGTTTCACGCAACACAGAATAAAGCTAAATACGAAATTTCCAGATTTCCCCCCTTTTCCGATTAAACAACTGTAATTCGTCTATTAATGTCACATGACATATCTCATGATCTCTCATTTCCCTCACACAAAATAATGCGTAATCGGAACTGAGTGTTTCTCACATTATTACCAAAGTCCTAGGTAGTAACCTTTATCGCCTCCAAAATGTCGCCAAACTACCAGTTACCATATTCCAAAGATCAGCAAAACTGTTTTATCAGAACAGCAGCAATAACTTAGTTGCATTGTCTGAATATCGACGTTTAAAGGGATTGCAAAAAAGGGCCCATGTCGAAGAATGTTTTGAAGAAGATGATATGAACTTTTTTATTGCAGAATTCGTTTCCCCATAGTCCATATAACATATATATCAAATTTCATCAAAATTCAATAAGTAGAACAAGTTCTACGGGCATCTGAATAGAGTCAGTTTAATTATAACCACCCTGTATTTTATGTTCATGCTTGTGTATGTTTTGATTTTCAAAATATGTCTCATATAATGTCTCATATTTTGTCATATACTCTTCCTTATTAAAGCCTTTATCTCAAATTAATGAGAAATTAATTTTACTCAAGAAAGTTGTGTTATATTTTAATTTACAAGGACTATCGGTGTATTATATTTTCATGCAGCTAGATAAATTTGATAGTCATGTGCATAAACTGAAAATTTTCAATCCAAATCATAATTGTTCCCTAAATATTATTTGTAACAAATCAATAGTTTTGTCTCATTTGTGTTAGTAATTAAGGAATTATTCTGTATCACATTGTAAAACCTTAGTTTTCCTTAAATAAAGCATAAACTTGTTAAATAAATTTTTTGGAGGATGGGATACTTATGCATTATTCAATCAATT